ATATTTCTTCTCCCGAGCTGCTTCTAGGATTTTCTCTTTGTCTCTGAGACTCGTAAGTTTTACTATTAGATGTCGGTGTGTTGACCTATTTTTATTGATTTTGAGAGGGGTTCTCTGTGCCTCCTGGATTTTGAGGCCTCTTTCCTTCCCCACATTAGGGAAGTTCTCTGCTATAATTTGTCCCAATATACCTTCTGCCCCTCTCTCTCTCTCTTCTTCTTCTGGGATCCCAATTATTCTAATGTTGTTTCGTCTTATTGTATCGCTTATCTCTCGAATTCTACCCTCATGATCCAGTAGTTGTTTATCTTTCTTTTTCTCAGCCTCTTTATTTTCCATCATTTGGTCTTCTATATCGCTGATCCTCTCTTCTGCCTCATTTATCCTAGCAGTTAGTGCCCCCATTTTTGATTGCACCTCATCAATAGCCTTTTTGATTTCAACTTGGTTAGATTTTAGTTCTTTTATTTCTCCAGAAAGGGTTTCTCTAATAACTTCCACGCTTTTTTCAAGCCCAGCTAGTATCTTTAAAGTCATGATTCTGAACTCTAGGTCCGACATCGTACTAATGTCCGTATTGAGTAGGTCCCTGGCAGACGGTACTACCTCTTGTTCTTTTTGCTCAGGTGATTTTTTTTCATCTTGTCATTTTGTCCAGAGGAGACTAGATGAATGAGAGAACAGAATGCTATCAGGTTAACAACGTCTCCAGCAAATACACTCTATACAAATTAGAAAAGACCTGAAATCAGGGCACAAGAAAGGGAAAGAAAGAAGAGAAAAAAAAAAAAAGAAAAAAAGATAAAAACAAACAAAAACAGAACAAAACAAAAAAAAACCAGAATATGATCAAATATGATCAGGGTAGTGCATAGATCAGTGCCGCACACTAGATTTTGGGCGTATTTTGGTCTGTTAGAAGAAAGTGCCTGCTAAAATTTTAAAGGAAGAAAGACATATATGTACAAAATAAGGGTTGATACAATGAAGGGATGGCAGATGACTGTAAAGGTGATAATTATAAAAGATTTTATAAAAGAAATTGATACGATAAGTTGTTTGTAAAAAGAAAGAAGATTTAAAAAAAGGGAGAGAATGTGATGAGGTAGGAGACTAGAACAAAGCCATACATTAGTGATTTAGGGTATATTTTGATCTTTTAGAAGAAACTGTATCTCAACATTTTAAAGAGAGAACAACTTATATATATATGCCAAAAATAAGGGTAACTACTATGAAGGGATAAAATATGACTCTAAAAATGAAAAATAAATTTTGTTTTAAAAAGGGATTGATAAGATGTTGGTTGAAAAAGGGAAAAAGAGAAATTAAAGAAAAAGTTAAAAAAATTAACTTTGAAAAACTAATGAATCATGGTAAAAAAAGCCATGAATTCTATGTGCAGTATTCCCCTAGCGCTGGAGTTCTCCCGTTCTCCTTGATCGGTAAACTTGGTCTTGGCTTGCTGGCTGTTCGTGCTGATCTTCTGGGGGAGGGGCCTGTTGCTGTGGTTTCCAAATGTCTTTGCCGGAGGCTGAATTGCTCCGCCCTTGTCGGTCCGGGCTAAGCAAGCTGCTCGGGTTTGCTCTCGGGAGCTTTTGTTCCCTGCAAGCTCTCGGTACAGCTTTGGAGGACGACAGTGAAAATGGCAGCCTCCCAATCTCCACCCAGAGGAGCTGAGAACTCGGGGCCCCACTCCTCAGTGTGCCCCCAGAGAAAAGCAGTCACTCCCGTCTCCCCGGTCTCCGGCCGCACTCTGTGCTCACCCGGCCTGTGACCGAGCGTTTCTGTCTCTGGCACCCGACCCCGTGTGGAGTCTCCAAACCCAGCAGATCCCTGCGGTGCGCTCCCGCGCCGCTCCTCCCGGGGGAGGAAGGGGAGTCTCCCCGGATCTGCCGCTTGTTGGGTCCCTGCTGGAGGAGCAGTGGCCCGACTGGGCCGCGGATCACAGTTTATGGCCACCCCGAGCTGAGAGCCCGCGCCTCGGCTCCGTCTCTGCAGCCGGCTTCCCCGCTCCGATCCCTGGGAGCTCTGCCGCACTCAGGCTCCCCCGGCCTTTCTGTGACCCCGAGGGTCCTGAGACCACACTGTCCTGCGAGGGTTCCACCCCCCGCTTAGCCACTGGAGCGACGTCCCTCCGCGGAGCCGACTTCTAAAAGGTCCGATTTTGTGCTCCGCGGCTCTATCACTTTCCAGAAGCGGCCGACGGAGGCCCCCTCCCCCACCGTCTATCCTTCGAATATTGCCTCGGATTCACTTCTCCGCACGTCCTACCTTCCACAAAGCGGTCGCTTTTCTGTTCAGAGAGTTGTTGCTCCTCTCCTCTTCGATCTCCTGTTGAGTTCATAGGTGTTCAGAATGGCTTGATCCATATTCAGCTGAATTCCTGAGACCAGACGAAATCCAGGTCTCCTACTCCTCCGCCATCTTGCTCCGCCCATGTCGACTGAGTTCTTAAACCTTGAAGATAAAGGAAGAATTCTCCTTCTGTGGTACTGTATTTTATTTGTTTTTAAAAAAATATTAGAGAGCGAGCGAGCACAAGCGGGGGAGAGGGAGAGAGGAGCCGACTCCCTGCCCACTGGGATCATGACCCGAGTCTAAGGCAGACGCTTCACCAACTGAGCCACCCAGGCGCCCCCTGTTTACTTTTAAAGTAGGCTCCATGCCCAGCGTGGAGCTGAACAGGGGCCTTGAACTCACGAGCCCGAGATCAAGACCTGAGCTGAGATCAAGAGTCAGACGCCCCACCGACTGAGCCCCCTAGAAGCCCCCCAGGTGCTGTATTTTAGATGAAACTATTGTGTGTGTCAAATTTCCTTGTGCCAACTGGATTGTGCTTATGTAGAGTGACTTCTTGGCTATATGCTAAAGATGTCATTAAATCTGGAATAAGTTGTCAATATCTCGAGAGCAGATATGCATGTGGCAAACTTCACAATTGACAAATCTATGTCAAGGGTATATGGGGCTCCAGTGCTGGGCACAACAGGGCCTGCAGGCCGCTGGGGGCTTCCTCTGGAGCCTGCTGAGGAGGGAGAGGACACTCACTAGCTGCTGTGTTGGCAACAGATATCAAGAGGCAAGAGCAGACGGTCAGGAGGCCGTCCAGGGATTGTCTCGATTCAAAGGAGTAGGAAAAGTGACTCAAAGTTCAAATCCGGGTTAATTCAAAGGATTTACTGACTAATTGGACACAGGGTGTGAGGGGGAAGGGAGTTAGAAGTGACTGCAAGGTTAGCCTGGGTGATGGGAGGACAGGGGTCGCCATTTCCTGAGAGCAGGAGGAGTGGTGCGTCCCAGGACTTGGTCTGCGCGGAGTCATGAGATCCTGTTTAAATATCCGGGCAGGGGCGCCTGGCCGGCTCAGTCCGTGGAGCGGCTGACTCTTGATCTCAGGGTCCTGGGTTTGAGCCTCCTGTTGGGTGTAGAGATTACTTAAAATCTTCAAAACAAACACACAAGGGTTGTCACAGACAGCCGGCCATGTGAATATGGAGAATTGTGTAGAGATTTAAATGTGGGAGTCTAGGGGTGCCTGTGTGGGTCAGTGGGTTAAGCATCTGCCTTCGGCTCGGGCCATGGTCCCAGGGTCCCAGGATCAAGTCCCGCATCGGGCTCCCTGCTCAGCGGGGAGTCTGCTTCTCCCTCTCCCACTGCTACTCCCCCTGCTTGTGCTCTGTCAAATAAATGAACAAAATCTTAAAAACAAATGTGGAGTCTAAAGCGTGAGAAGTAAGTGTGTGAAAATGTGAGGAACAAAGTTGTGTCAAGATAATTCAAATGTGCACAAGTTCACTCTGTGACACGTGAGTGAGAAGTACAGGCTTAGGCTGACAAGGACCCAGCTGAGGTGGCACGGGCTGTACTGAAACACTAGATACCCCGTATGTGCAGAGGGGGGATCCGGGTGGGCATCTAGACCCACACAGGAAGTGGGGTTCCCCATCCCTGGGAATGCCCACCAGATGGGCCCACCCGTGTTGGGGGGGAATGAAACCATCAAGCAGGTGTGCCCTGGGGAGCAGATGGAAGGACCACCTCCACCTGAGCATTACATGGCGTGCAGCCCAGGGTCCTGCTCACATGCCTCGGAGTTCTGTGCCTGTGCCCATCTGCTGGGGGCTGGGGCCACGCAGGGCAGTAGCATGTGCCCCCTCCCTACAGCGTCTTGGTTTTCACTCTGGTTCTCTGGCCAGCAGAGGCTTGAGGACAGAATAATCAGTTTTATTTATTTTTTAAAATTTTGAGAGAAAGAACCCTCACAAGCAGGAGGGAAGGGGGAGGGGGAGGGGCAGAGGGAGAAGCTGACTCCCTGCTGAGCAGGGAGTGGACCTTGATTTCAGGACCCTGGAATCACAACCAGGCAGACACCTAACCGACTGAGCCCCACAGGCGCCCCCAGAATAATCAGTTGTATAGAAGACAACTTCTGGCCCTTAAAGAGCTGTCAGACAGTTACAGATTGTGGAGACCATGAACTTTAAGCAGTTGAAGATAAAAATTTAAGTTTCATTTCATCTTTAAAAAGATGAAATATTAAAATATTAATCTGTTGATATATGAAGTTATTACATAGTTTCAAGTGCCTAAATTTTTTTTCCCCACAAGACCAAGAATTTAGGTTGATTTTATTAAAATAATTGTATTAAAAAAAAGCAGTCACTCAAACTCAATGTGTGGCATTCTCCTTCACATCTTGATAGTACTTTTTGGGGGGGAATAGTATTTACCATTTTAACTAGATGATATATACTATTTATTATTTATTAATTTATTTATTATGAATTCTAAGGGGTTCATCAGGTCAAAGAACATTCATCCTCCCGTGTTCCGGCCAGGCCTTTCAAGAAAACACCAGTGGTAACACCTAATGCTGGCTGAGCATTTACTGAGTGGGCTGAGGTACGCTGTCTGCTGGTGCTGCTGGTTATGGATCCCCTAACTTTATTAAAGGGTTAAATGATGGGATTGAAGTTTTATCAAACCAGACCACAATATTAAAATGTGGTAATTCTTTTTATTGTTTTTGCTTTTCAGAAAAATTAATACTTGACACCAGTCTTTCCTGAAGTTTTAAGTCAACTGTTCAGTGTTAACAAGAAATGAATTTTTCTACTGAATTTACAGAACATTTGTTAAATAGTTTCTTTTTCTTCATTATTTATTATACAACATTCGAGGATAATACGGCTGTCTTAAGACTTCAGATCTGAGAAATCTAGGGCAAGACTTTTAGAAAGTGCATTAGTCAAGGTACAATTTAAATATGAATATACACATATTCCATAACCCAAATCTATAACATGGACTATAATCTTTCTCCCTACAATATGGCCTGACTTTGTAGAACACTGGATTTCAACTGGGGGCGCCTGTGACCTCCAGGAGCCATTTGGCATCTGGTGTCACCGTGACTGTCACAGGGGGAGGGGTGTTAATGGCTTTGAGTGGGTAGAACCCAGGGATGCTGCTACACATCCTACAACACACAGGATGAATTCTCACAACAAAGAATTATCCAACCCAAATGTCAACAGTGTCAAGGTTAAGAAATCCTGTTGTAGAGTATCACCCAATTGACTCAATTTCCATTTTACAAAGAACCTGCCTGTCCACTGTCATTTGGAAAGCACACGTTACTAACTAGCAAAACCTATTTAAAAGATTTAACCCGACCAGTATCATTACCAAAAGCGAAGTCTGACTTTTGGTATCAAGGTACTTCCAGCATGATTAAACCACAAAATCAGCTTAGAATGACAGAAATCAGGATATATACCATTTAATTTCCCTTGAACCTGCTCTACGTTTAATCTGCTCATATGGAAAGTTAATTTGGACTATTTTGAAGTAGCTAAGCAAATAGCTCGCACTGCACATTCTTCTAGACTATGATAAAAATGTAATGATTTATAAAGCATTTGGTAAAGAGCAAAGTTCTCTACAAGTGTGCTGATAGTATTTATCACAACACACCGAAAATGAAGAGCTTCATTTATTTTTTGGAGTTTGTTAGGACCATGTGATTAGACAGGTAACATTAATTTGCCCCTGATATTACAATAACCTCTCACAGATGTCTTTTACAAATAGCGGTGCACACATATGGGGTGTGTGATATAAAATTAACAAGCTGGTTGTATTTTCCATACAAATACTGGTTGTAAATTATCAATGTTTCAAGTGACGAATTCTTATGGGGAACCAAATTTTTAAAGAATTATGTTAAGTTTACTAAGTGGAGAAATTTCTCAGTATTTTACTAACCATTCATTTTCACATTCACATTCTATGTATTTTATGGTCAACAAACTGATTCAAATGATTTAAATTATCCCACCATTTAAAGAGGAAATCATTGGCAATAATCTGAAACCACGGAGTTAACTTAATTTCACCACGGGCTGCGTTTTTCAGAAGTTCTCTTAGCTCTTCCTTTGTCACATAACAGTAGCTCTTAATCTCATTGGGATCTGGATTCAAAGTTACGTTCTTCCTCACAAACAGAATGTAATCAATTTCATGTTCCCCCCAGATACCATCTGACTGAGCCTTGTAGTGAATTCGTGTTAGGTAATTAATTTCTTCTGGAGGAACCTAGGATGAAAATAAAACAACAGCAAAAACATCAATAACACAAGTAATGTAAATCAGCCCACCACATTTAAGTAAGATCCTGAACAACAGAACCATAGTTTTAGAATTAGAACTCTTAAAATATTAATCTGTTGATGATATATGAAGATATTATGACATAGTTTCAAGTGCCTAAATTTTTTTCCCCACAAGACCAAGAATTTAGGTTGATTTTATTAAAATAATGGTATTAAAAAAAAAAAAGCAGTCACTCAAACTAAATGTGTGGCATTCTCCTTCACATCTTGATAGTGCTTTTCGGGGGGGGGGGGGATAGTATTTACCATTTTAACTAGACGAGATATACTTTATTTACTCAGGTCTTATTTAAAGAGGACAATCCCAGGAAATAAAGATTATTTCAATTTACCCAATCAGATTTGTAGTTTATATTTGTAAGGATTTTCACAAGAAAACTATCATTTTTGATCTGCTCAATTATAAAAATAATCAACTTTATATACTGGTTAACAGACCAATCCATTTTAACACTGAGCTAAATCTTCACAAGTAATATGAAGAAGTCAAAATTTAAATAATCTTTAACGGAGGTGCTTTCTAGGACCAATAACTCACAAAGTTATAAAGCAGAGACCTACCTTAAATTTAAAATTTTAATGAAAATGTTTTAACGTATGTTTGGATTTCTAAACAAGATTTCAGCTTGTACAGTTGTGTAGTAAAATTGGTTACCTCTTCCATGGGAATTCCTAATTCAGCCTTTAATCGCCTCTGTGCCGCTCGTCTTACTCCAATGGCCTCTTTTTCTTCCAGCTCTCGGGGATTACTTAACGGATGACTACAGCAAGTGTTGGTAAAACAACCTGGAACATGTTAATATACATGTAGATTAACTTTTCCTCCAAATAGGTCTAAAAGATAAAAAAAAAAAGTTTTAAAAGTAACAGAAAAATGAAGATTTCTAAATCAGTTATAATGAGCTATGGGTAATCAGTCTGTGAAACAGACAAGTGTAGATAAGTTCTTTATTAACGCAGTCTTAACCAGAAAGATCAAAGAGTATAAAGACAAACCTACAACACAGATAAAAATATACATTAGAAATCTATGTGAATATACACATACTAGCCATCTTCACTGCTGGCTCATTAGGTTGTGCTCAATGCACACACTTCTTTATGCGGAACATGAAATGCTGCCATCCACAGGATTTCCCTTCTGACTTTGGCTACCAAGCACGCCCCGGACCGAGTCACGCCGGGTCCGGCTCCCTACAAAGTACTCCGGGCAGAAGCACGCTCACCTGGAAAGGTGATTTTAGCATCTGACCTCTGCTGCAGCAGGAGCTTATTTTCCGTGTTGAATAAGAAGACGCTGAAAGCTCGATGTAATAACCCTGCGCGCCAAAGAAGGGAGATTACTGTAAGACAGCAGTTACCTGCCCTATTCTCTACCTACGGTCCAGAGCCCCTGGAACCTGCTGCCATCGTCGTCCACTCAGCGGGGCTCTGCCCGGCCCGGACAGGGCGGCGGGCACGGGGGGCCGCCCGGGCCGCCGCGCCTGGCCCCGCACCTCTGTCGATGTTCTCGTTCAGGTGGCAGTTCCGCTTGGTCTCCGCCCCGATCCGACGGTCCTCTTCATCGATGAGGATGCACATCTCCGCCAGCAGCTGCACCTGCTGCGCGTCCAGCTTGTCCATGTCAATCTCCGGCATGCTGGCAGCCCGCCGGACCCGGCCCGTGACCCTGGCGCCGACAGAGGACCGGGGCTCAGGACCCCCCCCCGTCCCCGGGAGAACCACCACCCGGGCCCCGGGGTACCTCCCCCCAACTCCCACCCGACACCGAGGGTCCCCCGGGAGGGGGCGGCTGGGCGGCCACACTCGGTGCCCCGGGCCCGCGGGGACCCGCCGGCCGCCGCCCGACCCCCGCCGGCCTACCTCAGGCTGCTGCCCTCTGCGTACCACCGCTCCGCCGCGTTTTGCTCCCGCAGGCCCCGCCCCCAGGCCTGGGGCCCGCCCCCTCGGGCCGCGCGCCCAACCTTCAGGGCCCGCGCCAGAGCGCGCCACATGCTTCGCGGCCAATCGCGCGCCGGCCACGCCTGACGCCACGGTCGCGCGAGGGCGTGTGCAGGGCCTCCGTCACGGAGCCGAGGTTCCGCTCTTCCCTCTGCCCTCCAAGCCCCGCTGTACGGAGCTCGGGGCCTTGCAGAGCCTTTTTCAGGAGGCCGCCCGGAGACGGAGGGCGGAGCGAGCGGCCCCGACCACACCCGCTAGTCCGCGCGCCAGAGGCGCCGAGCCCCGCGCGAGCGCACGTTCCAGGTGCCCGAGCGCTCGGGCTCTGAGACGTCGTGACGTGTGTGCGCGGGGCCTTCTGCGCAGTTAGCGGACCGGCAGGCTGAGCTCCCGTGCCCCCGGGGGCGGGCTGCATGAGGACCGCGCGGGACGGCGCGGTGCGTGCCCTGGTTCGGAAGGCCGCGACGCCCGCACGCCCGCACCGTTCACCGCTCCCCGAACCCCCCTCGTGAAGCCCACGCCTGCACCCCATGTCACACCCGCCCTACGGCCCACACGCAGACCCAACACATCCCCCTTACACCCCACACACAGACCCCACATCACACCCCTCCCCCCACAGCCCGTTAACAAGGCCTTGAAAAAGGCAGAGTGATAGTCTTCTAGGGACTCAACTGCCTTGATGTTAACACTTTGCTCAGGGCAAAAGGCAACCTCTGCCCAACCCCCAGGATCCTGGGAGTCTACTTTAACACAAAAATTCCTTTAGAAATTTTATCCCTAAACCCCCAAAATACATGTTGGCAATCACCTCCTCCCCCAAGCATATGGCCCAATACACATCTGAAGGGTCTCATGACTAAGGTTTTACTAGACAGTAATACACAACCTTTTCCCAACAATAGCTAGCCTCCTCAAAGTCCTGGAAACCGTGCTTCCAAAATTCCTTAGAGACACGCTATCCCCAACCCCCTCCCAACTTGAAAGTGTATCATGAACCACTCCTCACGACCCCGGTGCAGCTCTTTCTGCCCATGGGTCCCGTCCCTGTGCTTTAATAAAACCACCTTTTTGCACCAAAGACATCTTAAGAACTCTTTCTTGCCTGTGGGCTTCAAACCCTCATGCCTTTCCTATATCAAAACCACAGCAATGAACATTTTATAATGTTAAATTAACATTCATTGCTTTGGACTAAAGTTCGAATGCATATTTTCCCACGCATGATTTTGTAATATTGGGTCACTTGGAAAATATTACTTCACTAATTAAGCAGATCTTGCAGATGTTGACACATTTCATTATTCAATACCAATCACCTTTAACATCACCACTAATTTCATCAGAAAAGTCCTGTGGCGCGTGTGTGGCTCAGTCGTTAAGCATCTGCCTTCGGCTCAGGTCAGGATCCCAGGGTCCTGGGATCGAGTCCCATATTGGGCTCTCTTGGAGCCTGCTGGGAGCCTGCTTCTTCCTCTCCTTCTACCTGCTGCTCCCCCTCCCCCGGCTTGTGAGCGCACACGCTCTCCGTGAAATAAATAAATAAATAAACCTTAAAAAAAAAAAAGTCTTTAAGCATTGGGAAGTCGTCAAGCCCCCGGTGGGCAGGGAGGAAACTAGCTACGTCCGTTTCATCAAAGTCCTCTCTGTGTCCCATTGCTCCTGAGCGACTTCGCAAACATTTATTTTCCACCCTCCTATGAGTTGCTCTCCCTTTTAAGTCCCAGACCCACTTCTCCTAGGTTCAGGGTGACCTATGAACCTTATTTCGACTGTCTTTGGAATCTCTCAGGTTTATGTGGATTCTCATACATGCATAATTATAATTAAATTTGATATTCTCCTGCCAATCTGTCTCACGTCTTCCACCAGCCAGAAGAACCTTGAAGGGTAGAGGAAAACGCTCCTCCTGGTGAAATGTTTGCCACAACCTCCAAAAGCCTGAAACCCTTACAGAAGGGTTTCTTAGTGCTAAGCTGAGCTTTTACTAAATGTGTAAATAACTTCAGCACTTATTCTAGTTTGTGGTTATTTGGGTCCCAAAATGTTAAATTTGTTTCTTGTGCAATCATCTTACGAGGGCTTCTTGAATTTGAATGGCGAGCTTTCGTTTTTAAAGGAAGGAGTGAGAATGTTGACCCACACATCAGGAAACTGGTCTCTTGCTTTTCATTTACTGTAGGTCAGCTTTAACGCCTAGGCAGAGTTGTTTGTAAAGAGGAGGGTGGTCGCTCATGTAAGGTCTCCAGTCCATGACGTCCCTTGCCAACCTAGATCAAAGACGAGTAAGTCCCACCTTTCGCAGCGAGCAGCTGATTTTGTTTTTTCTTTTTAGCCAATGGCGAACAAATATTTCAGAAAGGAAAGTGGATGAGTCATCCTCTGCAGATAAAGCTGAAATATTAATAGTTCTACCTCCACCGGGAGCCCGTGCGGACCGGCAGCCTCCGCCACAGCCCCGCGGGGAAGAGTCGCGGCCGGCAGCCGTGCGGCCGCGGGGAGCACACAGGGCTGGACGCCCGTCAGCGGTCCCCCCGACCCGAGCCGATGGACGCGAACCTGTGGGGGTCGAGGACCCCCGCGGGAGCCCGCCGCAGTGAGTACCGGGGGACGCGCCCGCGGGCTCCCTGCGAGCGCCGGCGCCCCGCTCCTCCCAGTCCGCGGCTCGGCTCTTCCGAGCGCACCTTCGGGCGAGCACCTACCCGGTGGGCCGGGGGCGGGCAGTCACGGGCGCTCCCCCCCTGCCCCCGGCTCCCCGCGCGCCGGGGCGCGGCCAGAGCGGGCGGTCGCGGGACTTCCGGCGCGAGCGCAGGACGGGGGCTGGACTTCCGGCGGTCGCGGCTGAGACGGAGGCCGCGGGAGGGACTTCCGGCGCGGGGCGGAGGTCGTCGCGGGACTTCCGGCGGCCTGGGCGCGAGGCGAGGCTGGAGCTTCCGGCTGTGCCGGAAGTGCAGGGCGTCGGGCTTGCCGGGTCGTGGGGCCGCGTCAGGGCGGAGATTCGGTGTCCTGCGTCTCCCGGTCTGTCGCGGGCGCCGTGTGGTTGGGAACGGGCGCGCTGCAGCGCAGGGCCCGGTTGGCATTGGGGGTCGGCGGGCACGGCGGCGGCACGACAGGTGAGTGCCGGGCGGTCATCTTCCACCCCCGAGGGGCACCCGGGGTGCGGGGGGCCATGGCCTCCGAGCGGGACTGGGGGCGTGCCCGCGGGGCCTGTGGCTGCCTCGCGCCCGCCCCCCACCCCCGACCCCGCGTGCCCTGGTCCTTGCTGTCGATGGAGGGCTGGGGTCGGCCCGGGGCGGGGCGACGGCGCCTCGCTCAGAGCCCCAGGTTACGTGGTGGGCAGGAGCGGAGAGGCCCGGTCGCGCAGCCCTCGCAGCAGAGGCTCCCGTGCCCGGCCCGGTCCGCTGAAGCCGAGCTTGTCGTGGGAGAGCGCGGCGACTCGGGAAGTTTCATCTGTTTCCGTTCCAGCGAACGCCCCGTAAATGCAGGATGGTGGCCTCCAAGGTGTGACCTTAGAAGTGTCCCCGGAATGGTGTGCCTCCGAGGTGGGCCCGTGCCTCCGGAGTGTCTTCGCCGCGCCCGGCCGCCCCGCTCTGCACGCTCCGCGCGCGGGCTTGGGCTCCGCAGGGCTGGCGCGGCCTGGCCTCGGGGCGGTCGTGCGGGCGCTGTGTCCTCCTTGCGCTGGGCCCAGCCAGCGGGGAGGGCGGCGGACCCCCGCCGCACTGCACAGCAGCTGCGCGACCTTTCCGAGCCGCGTCTTGATAGTGAGAAGGTCACGTTACGATGTGTGTGCCACGCGTTCTTGCAGAGTCCTGGACACGGGAGAGCTTTAGTGAGAGCGCTTCCTTCCTCTTTTCTCAGCCTCTTGGCACCTTCCTTCGGGTGGCTCTGGTAGGCTGTTCACTTGCTTTGCACTTGCACTTGAAAATCTTGGGGGTCATCTTCCGATTAGTGGTGTCCCCCAGTTCACTGTGTGGATGAGGGACAAAACAGTGTCCGCAGGTTGGGACTGATGGCACGTTTCTGCAGGGGCTTCTCTCCATAGATGCTGCGGAGCAGTTGAGTTTGCTGTTGGAGCCCGCCAGGAATTCGCAGCGCAGCGCTGTAACAATACGGTGTTAGGGAGAGCTGGACTGAACGGCTGGTGGAAAGTCACATTCGATACTGTCAAATGCCGCACACAGATTACATTGTTTAATCATTCTTTTGCGTAAAGTTAACGTTCGTGAAATTAAGTACTTAAGTGTTCTTGCTAAAAGAAAATGTTTAAAAGTCCCACCGGGTATGAAATTGTGAGTAATGTTTTGTACATGGGGTCATGTGTGTGTGGCACATGAGTTGTGCAGACTTTATATTAAACCTACTTATTTGAAGGGTGGGTTAGGGAGGTTGAGTTTTTGGAGGGAACTATTTATAATTCCTTGAAAATAATGTTTTTTAAAAAAAGTAGGATTTTTTTTCCATAAACCTGTTCAGTGCCTTATAATAGTGGGTTAGTACGAATAGTTTGAAGAAATATAATTATCTTTTGGAATTTCAGATATTTGTTTTTGATTATATTTAGGTAAAAGGCACAGCTTTTAACATTGGTTACAATAGATTATTTTTAGAGTAAAGACATTTTTTTTTCCCTTTACAGTTCTTTTTTTTCTTCTCTCTGCCCCTTCAGGGCCCCCTTTTTCTCCTTCTCCCCTTTACAGTTCCTTTTTTTTTTAAAATATATTTTATTTATTTATTTGACAGAGAGGGAGAGAGCACAAGCAGGGGGAGCGGGAGGCAGAGGCAGAGGGAGGAGCAGGCTCCTTGCTGAGCAGGACCCTGGGATCTTGACCTGAGCCGAAAGTAGCTGCGTAACCCACGGAGCCACCCAGGTGCCCCTCCCCTTTACGGTTCTATGACCAGTTTACTAAAGTGTTTGGCCTGTTGAACATTTGGGAACTGTGCCTCACAGCGTTTTTGGAACAATAGTGGCTGTTTTTACTGACCCTTGTGAGCCTCACAACACACCTTTGGAGCAGTTCTTCTGTCTCAGAGGGACCTGCCCATCCGTTACCGGTGTCTGCTGTACTTTCTAACTTCACTTCCCTCTTTGTCTAGCTTAGAGTCCATGCTCTATCAGTTCAGTATTTCTTTTGCAAACACCTGCAATTTCCTTGCCTCTCTCTGTGATCTCAACCTGAAAACACCCTAAACTTTTCAAACATTTATATAGGATTTATACTAATACTGATCCATGCTGAGGTGAAGGGGTTTGTTCTCCCCGGAGGGTCTGGTGTGAAGGGAAAAGTGGTGTTGGCACCAGGGTAGACTGCTGGAGGAGGGAGAGGATGTGAATGAAGAGGGCAAGAGTAAAATTTTAAAAAAGGTTCAGGAAGGAAATTGTGTTGGAAAGATTAACAAAAGAGAAAGAGGAAATTGGAAATAGGTTATAACGAAAAACTAGAGGATCCTGCCACTCCAGTTTCTGAAGAATGGTGAGTATGGCTGAAGACCCGAGTGGAAGAGGCAGAACTTGAATTCACCAGGTCGTCTTCAAGTGTTAATAATACAGTGCTTGGCACAGGCATTATGACCCCATCGTTGAGATGACACTTCACAGGGCTTAGAAAGGTCTTAAGGGATAAAATCACTCCGGATGAAAAATCTCCATTTGATGCCAGGTTCTTGTTCCAGATTTATAATCTGTAATTGTGTGAAGTGTACGTATTTGGTTGGAAATGGATCAGTGTGAAAAGATAACCAGTGTAATGGACTGTGTGGTGGAGTGACAAAAACAAGCAAAGGCCAGAACGACACTATATGGGGTTCATGGGGAGGAGGGAGGTTCAAGCCTCAGTGCAAGGCAGAGGGTGAAGATTTGTTTATTAAAATTTTATTTATTTAAGTAATCTCTACACCCCAATATAGGGCTTGACCCTGAGATCGAGTCACACACTCTTCCAGCTTGAGCCAGCCAGGCACCCCCAGAGGGTGACGATTTTTAAAGTTAGTTGTATAGAAGACTGCTTATTTCTTACTGAAGGTGTAGTGTCTGGAAAGCCAGTGGTATGATACTGAAGACAGAAAATCATTGATTCAAAACCTACAACTTTGAGGGGCGCCTGGCTGGCTCAGTTGGTAGAGTGTGAGCTGGCTCTTGATCTTGGGGTTGTGAGTTTGAGCCCCATGTGGGGTGTAGAGATTAAAAAAGAATAAAAACCCGAAAAGCCTATGACTTTGAGGTGAAAGGAAGGTAGGTGTTGCCCTTCTTGCACTTTATATAACCAACTTGTGAATCTTCAGAATGTGCTAACCTTCCCACTGATACTTAGCAGAGTATTTCCACTGATGCAGGTCTTCAGAGAGGAAAGAAAAGACCTTTACTCTGTTACTTACTTGACTGAAATGTCTGCAGATAAAGTCTCCTCTTTATGGCTCCATTAGGATCTTTTTCACAGGGTTTTGATATTTTCCTCCTTTACAAAATGTGACTTAGAAACTGCAAGGTAACTGTTAAATTGTGTTAATGATTTTGACAACTGAGATGCTTTATGAACTTAATATGTGTAATCACTGAAAAAGAGTTATGTCTATCTCCTTCTTTTTATGAAGAATATAGTTTCTGGGTAAGGTTCCATTAAGTCAGTTTGGTTTTTTGGCCAATTTTTTTATGTGGCACAGTTAAATAGTTCTAAATGTTTCCATTAAAAAAAATTACTGAAATACTCTTTTAAGTGGTTTAATATGAACTGTTTAACAGTTTAGTTTTGTTATATTCAAATTTGTCAAATTTAATATCAATGTAATCTTTGTGTCTATAAAATTCTGCCAATTACAGATTCTGCCATTGTTTTGCTTTATGTCTTTATTTCAGCCATCTCTAATTTCTGTAGCTCAAAATTTTCAGACCTAAATTTCATAAAAAAATTTGTTCTTTAATTTTTCAGTCAAAAATAATTTTTCCATTGGGGCACCCGGGGTGGTTAAGGCATCTGTTGGTTAGGCATCTGCCTTCGGCTTGGGTCATGATCCCAGGGTCCTGGGATCGAGCCTTGAGAGCCCCACATCTCTCCCTGCTTGTGCTCTCTCTCTCTCTGTTAGATAAATAAATAAAATCTTTAAAAATAATTTTCTGTCTACTATGAAAATGAAACATTTAAGATTGAATCAGTTAATTAAAATGATTCTACTTTAAAAAAATAATTTTTCCTATGTCATTTGAGGGAGTGCCAGTTTTATTACGTGTTGCTTATTTCTACACATAATGCTCATTGTAAGGTTTTTTTTTTTTTTATCTTATTAAGAATAGTATTTGGTAAGTCATAGACTCTGGAGGCGTGATGGGGTCAAAATGCCTATCTCCACTTTCAGTGTAGACCTCTCCCAGATTTATAAATTTAGCCCAGTTCTCTTTTCATCTCTAGACCTATGTACTTCCTGCCTCTTCTGTGTTTTAGATGTTCAGAGGCATTGCAAACATAATACCTTCAGTATTTAATTCTTGATTTCTTCTGCAAGTCTGCTGCCTCAGTATCTCAGTACCTCAATAATCTGATCTCTTTTTCACCTTCTTCTTACCTCAGAAATGAGGGCTGTTCTTGACACCTCTCTTCTGCCCCACCTGTCCTCCTCACCCCAAATCCATTCATGTACCCCTCTAATCTTATGGATCATCATTAATTGCCTGTACTGCTTTAGTAACTTCCTAACTGGCTTCCCCATTCCTAGTCATCTGATTTTTCCATGTGTTTTCTACACAGCAGGAAGAGTGATTTTTCATGCAAATCTAGTGTCACTTATTTACGGCATGGCTTCGTTTTTGTTTTAGGATAAAATCTAAACTTAAAAGACAGACTCTAAGCCTCCCTCTACCACTTGTACTGTTCTCTCCATTGTTTGCTATGCTTTAGCCACATTATCTCTTTTTTAGTTTTTCTGGTTAATTAGTTTCATTCCCAGCTCAGGGTATTTGCACATGCTGTTCCTGTTCTTGGAATACCCACTCCCCCTCTCTCTTTCCACATGGTTAACACTGATTCTTCAGTTTCAATTTAAATGTCAGTTTCTTGGAAAAACCTTGCTCTTTAGCTTGCGTCTTCTCATAATAGTTGTGTATCTTTCAGAGCAGTCACCAGAATTTATAATTTCTCTAATCAATTCTGAGATTACCCTTAAGGTCCATCTCATAACTCTAAATAACATGAAAGTAGGGACCAAGTCTGTTTAGTTCATTGCTGTATTCCTAGTACCTAATGCGTTTATGAGCTGAAGAATATTTGGTGTGTGACTTAAAGAAAGAAAGAAGTGCTGTTGCTGTCCCTGCTTTTAAAGATGACAAAATTAAGCCTTAAGAACGTGGTTAAGTAACTTGACCAAGGTTACACAGCTAGTTGGGGATAGATGTGTTCATTCATTCATTCATTCACTTATACATTCATTAAATATTTTGGGATGTATTTATGTCAGGCCACATGGTCGGCCCTACAAGTACCATAGTGAGCCCAAATAATGTCCCAGGTGGGGGACATTGGTGGTGTTGTGGGGGAAACATTCATTAAGTGAGTAAACCACAAATAAAATCTAGGTGTGGAGGTGGCGAGGATCATACAGTGCTGTGACTAGTAGTGGCCAAAGGAAGCTGTTTTGAGGAGGTAACATTTAAGCCGAGGCCTCATGGTGAAGCCGAGCCAATGCTTTGAAGAGTTGGGGGTGGGGGTTGCATGGCTCTAAAACTAATTAACTGTTGTGCTCTTCTTTGGATTTTATTCCTAGTAGGTGTTTAACTTAACTGGATTATTTATATCTATTTTACTCCGCTATGTATTTGAAGTGGCAAAACTAGTTCCATTCGCTGCCATTTTTTAGGGAAGCAAAATGTTATTCATTGTATAGCCAGAATTTGTAAATGGAGTAATGTGTGATGGATTAAAGATGTCTACAAGTTCTTTCTCATTCTTTTTCTTTCAGTAGGTTAAGTCTGTTTGCCCTCCACTTGAGTCTGTGTTGCCCTTGTGATTTGCTTTGACAAATGGAATATCCAAAAAAGTGAGAGAAATAGAAGATTAAAAAGAAAACCAAATGAGAATTTTAGAGATAAAAGAAATACGGTTATTTTATTCCTATTTCCCCTTTTTTTTAGATTGGATAGTTGAATGTGGTTTACATAATGCTATAGAAAATTAGGTGATAATTTTAATAAATTCACAAATTTTAGAGTTTTAAACCTAAAAACACAGAATTAGTTAACCTATTTGAAAGTTTTTAGTGTGTTGTAAAACACGATTTACTTTCTTATTGCCATTTTAACACAAGGTCTACACATGTATAATATGAGATACAAAAGGTCTCTGATTTTGTACTTACGGAAAGGTAGAGTAGAGGTATTTCCTTGTTCCACTAAGTATATCTAAGGCAGTATATATAAAACACATAAAAGACTGAAAGGTGGAGAGAAGGGAGTATAGTGATACTGGTATTTTGGGACCTCAGAAATGACACAGAGCTGAGTTCCCTGGATTTTCTTTTTTGCCTCACATACCCCAGACTTGGGCCTGAAGAGGTAACAACCCAGCAACACCAAAGGGCTCACCTCAGAAGACCAAGAAAAGCCTGCTCTCTAGTCAAAAGACCAGGAAAGGGAAAGCCCCGGAGACAGAACACTTTTAGAAAACACTGCAGCGCCTACCCTCATCACTCTTCTTGTCTAAGGCTGGATGGAGAATCTAGGCTTTCACCCTTGACAAGCTGTGTTGAGGTGACACTCTCTGCTGGGTGGTGTCAGAGAAGGCTGAGTGAGCAGGTGGGATTCTCATCTGTGTTGGGTGATGAAAACACGCTCTTCCTGCTGGGGTGGCATTAGAGGAAACCTAGTAGGGATTCAGGAATTTCACCACCACTCGGTGCTAATGAGGCCACGTAGGGTATAGTAACAGGGACCTCTGGTGCAGTCAAGATGGTGTGAGTGGGAGAGCAGCCAAGGGAGAGGCTGAACTCTCACCCCACTCAGCAGCAATGGGGCGTATCTCCACCCAGGGTCAGTGGAGGCTGAGCGGAGAACCCTGACTTCCAGATCTCCACCTTTGCAGTCCACCTGGCAGAAACAAGAAATTGTTGGGACATCATCGTTAGAGGCCTGCTGTAATAGAAGACTTAAATCAGATCCCGGGTCAACAAGGAACCCAAAATGTTGAGGCTTCAGTTGAAAATTATATGTTATATGAAGAACTGGGAAAATCTCAGTTTGAATGAGAAAAGACAACTGACAGCAACACAGAGATGTCGCAGATGTTAGAATGATTTGACAGGGATTTTAAGGCAGCCAAAATGAATATGTGTCAGCGAGCAGTTAGTGACGTTTGAAACAAATGAAAAAACAAAATCTCAGGAAGAAAACACGGGATATAAAGAAACAAATGGAAATTTAGAACTGAAAAGTATAATTGAAATGAAAAACCCAGTGGATGGCTGACCAGCAGAATGGAGAGGGTAGAGGAAAGACTGAATGGAAATTACCCACCTTGAACAACAGAGAGAAACTAGCCTGGAAGAAAGTGAACGTAGTATCAGGGACCTGTGGAACTTTGACAAAAGACCTATTGTTCTTGTTATAATCCCAGAAAGAGGAGAAAGACAGTGGGGCTGAAGGTGCATTTGGAGAAATACTGGCTGAATATTTCCTAAATCTGGCAAGCCATAAACCTATAGAATCAAGAAGCTTAATGAAACCCAGACAAGATAAACTCAAAGAAATTCATGCTAAGACACATCGTAGTCAAAACTTCTGAGAACTGAAGACAAAAAAGCAGTGAGAAAGAAATGTCACTTTACCATTAGTGGAAAAACAGTTTGACAAGTGGATTTTTCATCAGTGACCATAGAGGCCATAAGGAAGTGGCATATTTTTCAAGTGCTGAAGGAAAAGAACTGTCAACTCAATTCTGTAGCAAGTGAAAACCTCCTTCATGTGATCAGTCACAAGCAGACCTATCCTAAGATAATAGGTAGAGGAATTTCTTTCAACAGAACGGAAATGACAAAGCAATGTGGGAACACCAGGAAGGAAGTACAAACAACGGAAAGAGGAAACATACTGGTAAATTCAGCAGATACTCATGTTTGAAGGTTGAAGCATAGCTCTTGATGTTCTCAGTGTATATAGAGGAAGTATTTCATTTGACTGTTACAAGTGCAAGGAGTTAGGAAGGTAAGGTTTCTATATATTACCGTGAACTGGTAAAATGTTGATAATCAGACTGTGATAGTTGTGAAAATTTAAAGATTTTATTTATTTATTTGAGAGAGAGAGAATGAGAGATAGCACGAGAGGGAAGAGGGTCAGAGGGAGAAGCAGACTCCCCGCTGAGCAGGGAGCCCGATGCGGGACTCGATCTCAGGCCTCCAGGATCACGACCTGAGCCGAAGGCAGTTGCTTAACCAACTGAGCCACCCACGCGCCTTGATAGTTGTGAAAATTTAATACCTAGAACAATCACTAAAGAAAGTTACACAAAAGAGGTAAACTCAGAAACTATACTGTAAATCAAAATGAAATTCTGTCATGATCCCAGGGTCCTGGGATGGAGCCCCGCATCGGGCTCCCTGCTCCGCGGGAAGCCTGCTTCTCCCTCTCCCACTCCCCCTGCTTGTGTTCCCTCTCTCGCTGTGTCTCTCTCTGTCAAATAAATCTTCAAAATGAAATTCTAGAAAATGTTCAAGTAACCCACAGTAAGGCAGAAAAAAACAACAAAATGAGAGAACAGAGATTGACTTCTATACTAGGAACAAGTGGGGTTTACTTGTACGTGCAAATTTGGGTTAGCGTTTGAAAATCATCAGTGTAATTGATCTGTTAACAGGCTAAAGAAAAGCCACGCCCATTAGATGATGCAGAAAAAACAGATGACAAAATTCAACGCATTTGTGAGACTCAGGAAGGGGGGAGCCTTCTCATCTCAGTAGACAAAATCTACAATTGACCTACAGCTAGCATCATACTTAATGGTCAGAAACAGAGTTTTTTTTACCTTGAGATCAAACAAGGATGTTTGTTGTCACTGTTTACAGCATAGTACTGGAATTTCTAGCCAGATCAATAAGAAAAGGAAATAAAGGCTTACAGATCAGAAAGGAAGAAATAAAACTGTTCTTTTTTAAAAATTTTATTTACTTATTTATTTATTAAAGATTTTATTTATTTGACAGGGAGAGACACAGTGAGAGAGGGAACACAAGCAGGGGGAGTGGGAGAGGGAGAAGCAGGCTTCCCACGGAGCAAGGAGCCCGATGTGGGGCCTGATTCCAGGACGCCGGGATTATGACCTAACCTGAAGGCAGACACTTAACAACTGAGCCACCCAGGCGCTCCTGTTCTTTTTTTTTTTAGATGGCATAATAGTCTACATAAAAAATGCCAAAGAATCTATAAAAAATCTCCTAGAACTCATAAATGACTTCAACAACAATGTAGGATACTAGCAATTAACACAAAATGGAAATAAAAATACAATGTTATTTAACATTACTCAGAAAATAAAAGCACAGACTTCATTGTAAATTCGAAAAGGCATATGTAGGACTTCTTTGTGGAAATCTACAAAACTGAGGGAAGAAAAGATCTAAATGAACTGAGACATATACTGTATTCATAGGTTGGAAGGCTCAACATGATAAAGGTGCCACTTCTCTCCAAATTGAGGAACAGATTAAACAGAATTCCTGTTAAAATTCCATGAAGATTTTTATTTTTGTAGGTATGGGAAAGATTATTCCAAATTTATATGGCTAGGCAAAGGAACTAGAATAACTTAGATAATTTTGAAAAAGATTTAAGTGATAGGAATCACTAATGATTTCAAGACAGCACAGTAGTCGAGACCATGTTATTGGCAAGGGTGCGTGGCTGGCTCAGTTGGAAGAGCATCCGGCTCTTGAACCTGGGGTCATGAGTTCAAGCCCCATGTTGAGTACAGAGATTACTTAAATAAAACTTAAAAAAATACTGTTATTTATAGAGAGATACGTAGATCAGGTGAACAGAATAGAGAACCAAGAAATAATCTCACCTAAGTATAGCCAATTGATTTTTGACTAAGATGCCAAACTTTCTCAACTCAATGTAGGATGGATAGTTTTCGACATGTGGTGCTGGAATAATTGGATATCCTCAGCAAAGAAACAAGAAAACCCAAAACAAAAATACTCCTGGATCTAAACTTTACACCTTAATACAAATATCAACCCAGAGTAGCTCGTAAATTTAAATATAATGTATAAAACTAAAATTTTAAGAAGAAAACAAAATTTTTAGGAGCTAGGATTGATAAAAAGTTCTTAGACGTGACTCTAAAATATCCACTGGAGAAAGATAATCGATCAGTGATATTTCATCAAAATTTAAAAGTTTTGCTTTGTGAAAAACCCTGTTAAGATAAAAGACTGGGGAAGCTTGGTAACCCGCACACCTGACACGTAACGCATGAAGGATATATGGAATACTCTCAAATCTCAACAGTAAAAACCCAAAGTCCTATTAGAAGGGCAAAAGATGGGAGAGGACATTTCCCTAAGAAGGGTATTTAGACTGCAGATAAGTACATGGAAAGATGTACAGTATCATCAGCCACCAGGGGAGTGTGTGTGAAGACCGTGACACAGTACTGCACACCTGTCAGAGCCAATGAAATTAAAACATAGTGAACATACCAAATGAGGCCGTGGAGAATAGAATCTCCTATGTCGCTGATGGGAATATAAGAGGTTATAGCTGCTTTGGAGAATAGTTTGGCAGATCGTGTTTTTCCTGTTGCCTAAAGTGATAATATTTTAGACACAGTGGGCTAAATAAATCATTAAAAGTGATTTCACCTGTTTTTACTTTTTTAAATGTGGCTACTAGAAAATTTGCCATGTGGCTTGCATTGCATTTTTCTTGGACAGCATTGCTCTTAAGATCTGTGGTCTAGAACGTGTGATTAGAGTTGGTTCTCTCTGGGGAGTAGGCTGAGGTTGGGGAAAATTGGTTAAGGGAGGCTTGTTCTTTAAGCCCTTCAAAAACTTGATAATCAGATTTGATAAAAAGTTACCTGTTCGACAAAGGCTGGGGTCTTTATCTAAAAAATGGTTAATTTGTTACTTTCTAAATTAAATAGTAAATATTGCCATAGTGAAGAATGAAGAAGTTTGGAATTGAAAGTAATTATTGTCATCTGTTTTTCCTTCATTTTGGTTTGCCATATCAGAAATTAAGTACTTGTTTTTCCTGCTTTTGTTTAGCTTATTCCAGGAGCGACTGGGACATCACCTTCTAGAAGTAATGCCCACAGAAAGCGGGAGTTGCTCCACTGCTCGCCAAGCAAAACAGAAACGCAAATCTCACAGCCTTTCTATACGAAGAACTAACAGCTCGGAGCAAGAGAGGACGGGTCTGCCAAGAGAAATGTTAGAAGGACAGGTGAGTTAGTGCTGATTGTGTTTGTGATGTTCCAGAAATAGCCATATACATATAGGTCTCCAAAGTAGAGAAAAAGAGTGGGTTACCAAAACAAAACCAAACCAGCTCCTCTTCCCTTCATAACCGATTAAAACAACTGTCAAATATAACGCCTACACAGAGACCCATGGGTGGCTAATGTGCCTAAGGAATTTTTAACATTTTAATTAATTTACGTTTAAATTTAAATAGCTGCGTGTGGCTACTGGCTACCATATTGGACAGTGCAGGTAAACAGTCTAGTATACGTTTTTTTTTTTATTAGATCTATTTACATTTCTTTCTTTTTTTAAAATTTTTATTGTTATGTAAATCACCAAACATTACATCATTAGTTTTTGATGTAGTGTTCCATGATTCATTGTTTGTGCATAACACCCAGTGCTCCACGCAGAATGTGCTCTCTTTAATACCCATCACCAGGCTAACCCATCCCCCCACTCCCCTCCCCTCTAGAACCCTCAGTTTGTTTTACAGTGTCTATCGTCTCTCATGGTTGGTCTCCCCCCTCCGACTTACTCCCCTTCATTCTTCCCCTCCTGCTATTTTCTTATTCTTTTTTTTTCTTAACATATATTGCATTATTTGTTTCAGAAGTACAGATCTGTGATTCAACAGTCTTGTACAATTCACAGCGCTCACCATAGCACATACCCTCCCCAATGTCTATCACCCAGCCACCCCATCCCTCCCACCCCCCACCACTCCAGCAACCCTCAGTTTGTTTCCAGAGATTAAGAATTCCTCAGATCAGTGAGGTCATATGATACATGTCTTTCTCTGATTGACTTATTTCACTCAGCATAACACCGTCCAGTTCCATCCACGTCCTTGCAAATGGCAAGATCTCATTCCCTTTGATGGCTGCATAATATTCCATTGTGTATATATACCACATCTTCTTTATCCATTCATCTGTCGATGGACATCTTGGCTCTTTCCACAGTTTGGCTATTGTGGACATTGCTGCTATAAACATTGGGGTGCACATACCCCTTCGGGTCCCTACATTTGTATCTTTGGGGTAAATACCCAGTAGTGCAATTGCTGGATCGTATGGTAGCTCTATTTTCAACTGTGTGAGGAACCTCCACACTGTTCTCCAGAGGGGTTGCACCAGCTTGCATTCCCACCAACAGTGTAGGAGGGTTCCCCTTTCTCCACATCCTCGCCAACATCTGTCGTTTCCAGACTTAATTTTAGCCATTCTGACTGGTGTGAGGTGGTATCTCATGGAGGTTTTGATTTGGATTTCCCTGATGCCGAGCGATGTGGAGCACTTTTTCATGTGTCTGTTGGCCATTTGGATGTCTTCTTTGGAAAAATGTTCATGTCTTCTGCCCATTTCTTGTTTGGATTATTTGTTCTTTGGGTGTTGAGTTTGATAAGTTCTTTATAGATTTTGGATACTAGCCCTTTATCTGATATGTCATTTGCAAATATTTTCTCCCATTCTGTCAGTTGTGTTTTGGTTTTGTGGACTGTTTCTTTTGCTGTGCAAAAGCTTTTTATCTTGATGAAATCCCAATAGTTCATTTTTGCCCTTGCTTCCCTTGCCTTTGGCGATGTTTCTAGGAAGAAGTTGCTGCGGCTGAGGTCGAAGAGGTTGCTGCCTTTGTTCTCCTTTAGGATTTTGATGGACCCCTGTCTCACGTTTAGATCTTTCAACGATTTGGAGTCTATTTTTGTGTGTGGTGTAAGGAAATGGTCCAGTTTCATTCTTCTGCATGTGGCTGTCCAATTTTCCCAACACCATTTGTTGAAGAGACTGTCTTTTTGCCATTGGACATTCTTTCCCGCTTTGTCAAAGATGAGTTGACCATAGAGTTAGGGGTCCATTTCTGGGCTCTTGATTCTGTTCCATTGATCGATGTGTCTGTTTTTGTGCCAGTACCATACTGTCTTGATGATGACAGCTTTGTGATAGAGCTGGAAGTCCAGAATTGTGATGCTGCCAGCTTTGCTTTTCTTTTTCAGTATTCCTCTGGCTATTCGGGGTCTCTTCTGGTTCCATACAAATTTTAGGATTATTTGTTCCATTTCTTTGAAAAAAGTGGATGGTATTTTGATGGGGATTGCATTGAATGTGTAGATTGCTCTAGGGAGCATTGACATCTTCACAATGTTTGTTCTTCCAATCCATGAGCATGGAACGTTTTTCCATTTCTTTGTGTCATCTTCAATTTCTTTCATGAGTATTTTATAGTTTTCTGAGTACAGATCCTTTGCCTCTTTGGTTAAATTTATTCCTAGGTATCTTATGGTTTTGGGTGCAATTGTAAAGGGGATCGACTCCTTGATTTGTCTCTCTTCTGTCTTGTTGTTGGTGTATAGGAATGCCACTGATTTCTGTGCATTGATTTTATAGCCTGCTACTTGACTGAATTCCTGTATGAGTTCTAGCAGTTTTGGGGTGGAGTCTTTTGGGTTTTCCACATACAGTATCATATCATCTGCAAAGAGTGAGAGTTTGACTTCCTCTTTGCCGATTTGGATGCCTTTGATTTCTTTTTGTTGTCTGATTGCTGTGGCTCGGACTTCTAATACTATGTTGAATAGCAGTGGTGAGAGTGGACATCCCTGCCGCGTTCCTGACCTTAGGGGAAAAGCTCTCAGCTTTTCCCCATTGAGAATGATATTCACTGTAGGTTTTTCATAGATGGCTTTTATGATATTGAGGTATGTACCCTCTATCACTATACTCTGAAGAGTTTTGATCAAGGAAGGATGCTGTACTTTGTCAAATGCTTTTTCTGCATCTATTGAGAGGATCATATGATTCTTGTTCTTTCTTTTGTTAATGTATTGTATCACGTTGATTGATTTGCGGATGTTGAACCAGCCTTGCAGCCCAGGGATAAATCCCACTTGGTCATGGTGAATAATCCTTTTAATGTACTGTTGGATCCTATTGGCTAGTATTTTGGTGAGAATTTTTTCATCCATGTTCATCAAGGATATTGGTCTGTAATTCTCTTTTTGATGGGGTCTTTGTCTGGTTTTGGGATCAAGGTAATGGTGGCCTCCTAAAATGAGTTTGGAAGTTTTCCTTCCATTTCTATTTTTTGGAATAGTTTCAGGAGAATAGGTAATAATTCTTTGAATGGCTGATAGAATTCCCCTGGGAAGCCATCTGGCCCTGGGCTTTTGTTTGTTGGGAGAGTTTTGATGACTGCTTCAATTTCCTTAGTGGTTATAGGTCTGTTCAGGTTTTCTATTTCTTCCTGGTTCAGTTTTGGGAGTTGATACATCTCTAGGAATGCACCCATTTCTTCCAGGTTATCTAATTTGCTGGCATAGAGTTGCTCAGAATATGTTCTTATAATTGTTCGTATTTCTTTGGTGTTGGTTGTCATCTCTCTTCTTTCATTCATGATTTTGTTGATTTGGGTCATTTCTTTTCTTTTTGGTAAGTCTGGCCAGGGGTTTATCAATCTTGTTAATTCTTTCAAAGAACCAGCTCCTAGTTTCGTTGATCTGTTCTACTGTTCTTTTGGTTTCTATTTCATTGATTTCTGCTCTGATCTTTATGATTTCTCTTCTCCTGCTGGGTTTAGGCTTTATTTGCTGTTTTTTCTCTAGCTCCTTTAGGTGTAGGGTTAGGTTGTGTATTTGAGACCTTTCTTGTTTCTTGAGAAAGGCTTGTATTGCTATATACTTTTCTCTCAGCACTGCCTTTGCTGTATCCCAAAGATTTTGAACAGTTGTATTCTCATTTTCATTGGTTTCCATGAATTTTTTAAATTCTTCTTTAATTTCCTGGTTGACCCATTCATTCTTTAGTAGGATGCTCTTTAGCCTCCATGTATTTGAGTTCTTTCCGACTTTCCTCTTGTGATTGAGTTCTAGTTTCAAAGCATTGTGGTCTGAAAATATGCAGGGAATAATCCCAGTCTTTTGGTACCGGTTGAGACCTGATTTGTGACCTAGGGTGTGATCAATTCTGGAGAATGTTCCATGGGCACTAGAGAAGAATGTGTTTTCCGTGGCTTTGGGATGGAATGTTCTGAATATGTCTGTAAAGTCCATTTGGTCCAGTGTTTCATTTAAAGTCTTTATTTCCTTGTTGATCTTCTGCTTAGATGATCTGTCCATTTCAGTCAGGGGGGTGTTAAAGTCCCCCACTATTATTGTATTGTTGTCAATGTGTTTCTTTGCTTTTGTTATTAATTGCCTTATATGATTGGCCGCTCCCACGTTAGGGGCATAGATATTTACAATTGTTAGATCTTCTTGTTGGGTAGACCCTTTAAGTAGGATATAGTGTCCTTCTTCATCTCTTATTACAGTCTTTGTTTTAAAATCTAATTTGTCTGATATAAGGATTGCCACCCCAGCTTTCTTTTGGTGTCCATTAGCATGGTAAATGGTTTTCCACCCCCTCACTTTCAATCTGGGGGTGTCTTTGGGTCTAAAATGAGTTTCTTGCAGACAGCAGATTGATGGGTCTTGTTTTTTAATCCAGTCTGCTAGCCTGTGTCTTCTGATTGGGGCATTTAGCCCATTGACATTCAGGGTAACTATTGAAAGGTATGAATTTAGTGCCATTGTATTGCCTGTAAGGTGACTGTTACTGTATATTTTCTGTGTTCCTTTCTGATCTGTGCTGCTTTTAGGCTCTGTTTTTGCTTAGAGGACCCCTTTCAATATTTCTTGGAGGGCTGGTTTCGTGTTTGCAAATTCCTTTAGTTTTTGTTTCTCCTGGAAGCTTTTTATCTCTCCTTCTATTTTCAATGACAGCCTAGCTGGATATAGTATTCTTGGCTGCATATTTTTCTCGTTTAGTGCTCTGAAGATATCATGCCAGTCCTTTCTGGCCTGCCAGGTCTCTGTGGATAGGTCTGTTGCCAATCTCATGTTTGTACCATTGTAGGTTACATATCTCTTCTCCCGAGCTGCTTTCAGGATTTTCTCTTTGTCTCTGAGACTCGTAAGTTTTACTATTAGATGTCGGTGTGTTG